GCTGTGAGTCAGAATTGACTTGACAGCACCACCACCACCACCACAAGGACGTTGAGCAAATGCCTGCTTCTCGTTTGCACAAGGAGCTCTGGTGGTGCAGTGGTTAAGGCATGTGACTGGTAACCAGCCACTTTGTGGAAGAAAGATGAGCGAGTCTGCTTCCATAAAGATTTACAGCCTTGGAAACCCAAGTGGGGTCACTATGAATCAGAGTCGACTCCATGGCAGTGAGTTTGTTTTTTTTATGTTATCACTTTGCATGAGACAGGCAGCTTGGCCCCAGATGTCGGCACTTTGCAAAGCACTTTGTCTTGGTCTCTTCTGCAGAGCAGCCTGTGTCCTTGTTCAGGAATTTATCTATTCCAGAAATTTCTATTGAGCACCACATTGTGGCTGACTGCAGGCTAGGTGCTGGGGATGCACTGGTGAAGGTACCTGGACAGTGACACGCAGGGCTGAGTAGGGTCTGAGATGAAGCGGAGAGCCCTGTACAAGCAGGGGGGCTTCTCCTCCCGTCCATCATTGATGCTGTGTGATGAGTGGGCCCAGTATTGCTGGATCTTCTGTTTCTTAGAAGAAGCCATAAATCTTGATTTTCATGTGAAATTTCCTGATAATTAAATGTCGGTCAAACCAATTTGATTTTTTTTTTTTAAAGAGTGCTCAAGAAACATGGTAGGCCTATAGATGCGGTCTGGCCTGTGGTTCACTGTTTTGGTTATCTAGTACTGCCCTAACAGGAAAATACCACCAATTGCTGGCTTGACAGAGTAAAATGGCACAGTCCCAAGATTATCAAACAACATGGCAGGCCACTATTTCAAGTCCAGAAACAGTCTCAGGATTGGCAGGCAACGTGGCAGGCTGCTGAATGAAGACTCGGCTAAATTCAGGATCTCAATGTGCCAAAAAGCTCAGAGACCTTTCTCAAAGCTGCTTCTTGTAAACTGGAAGCAGACCGCATCCCTAAGGCAGCTACTCAGCTGCTCCAGTAGATTCCACCAGGGAGCGGAATACCAGTCTCATCCTGGGGACTAACCATATCCAGCTCCCCAGCCACTCAAAACCAGGCCCCGTCAAGTTGACACACAGCTTATATAAACTACCACAGTCACCAGTCAACAACACGTTAGAATAATGTTTATATATGGACTCCACGTTAAGAGTAGATGGAGCCAGAGAAGCAACTATGCTCTCTCTGTGTGTGTGTGTGTGTGAGGGAGAGAGGGTTGGAGATGTTGCTGACTCTTGAAAAAGAGGCCAGCTGGCTGGAGAGGGAGGAACAGTGTTCCAGGCAGAGGACCATGCATGGAATTTTGGGCTATGTCCTGGGAGTCAGGCAGGGAAGGACTCCAAGGAATATCAGGGAACGACATGGTCCCAGGGAAGCATATACCTGAACAGAGGAAAAGTTGAACAAGAGAAGAGGAAGGAATGTGGGGATATAACCACCTTTCCCAGAATCTTTGGGGCCCTAGAAAAAGTCCTGTGAGCTGGGAATAACTTCAGAAAACCCTCTGTTCTGTCCTCAAAGACAGTGTGCATGGCACAGTCCCCACTTCCCACTTCCATGGCAGACATCACCAATGGATCACTGCACTTTTCCTCCACTGAGCTGTAACAGGTCTTATGAGCACAGGGTTCAGGCAGTCATATCAAAGGATCAGAATCAGCATAGGAGATTGTGCTATCCTACATCTAGCCCACAAGCCCAGAGAGGCTGTGTAACTTGCCCAAGGTCACACAGCTAGTATGTGGCAGAGCTGGGGCTTAGATTCATGTCTTTGGCGTTAGGTCTGTGCCTTCTCCTCCCCATTGGTGCCTCCTCAGGTGCGGACCTGAAGTATTGGAGGGCTACCTTGCTTTGCATTAAACAACATTGTCACAATAAGAAAATTACTGGCCCTCCTTTTAACTCCTTTAATACTTCTGATTTCTTCAAGGAGGAGATGTTAGCTTGGAACTAAAATGTCTTTAATATCCCTGTAATAGTTAATACATCCCCCCTTCTTCTTTTTTACATACAGCGCTGGCCTCAAGTTCAAACCATTGTTGGCCAGCAATCTAGTTAGAATTTAACAATGTTGTTTTATTTGTTTTGCGTTATTTCTATGATTATGTATAAGCTAGACCTGTTGACTTTCGATTTCTCTAGACTTCCATGAAAATTTTCCATAAAGATTAGTTAATAACATTGAAAAGAGTGGACTGCTTTTAAGGAAAAAACCACTAGAACACAAACGATATGTAGTGTGGCAAAGTTTTGCGGGCCCTAGGAGGATGATCGAGGTCTGGGAACCCCTGGCGGGGCCCTTCTGATAGCGTTACCCCCTTTCACTCTTGCAGGAGCTATCGGCAGAGCAGATCGCCTCTTTGGGCCCAGAGAATGCGGCGGCGGTCACCGACGCCCAGCGCCGGCAACTCAGCATGCTGCAGCTGCAGAGCCTCCAGCGTGCGCTAGATGGCGCCAAGACCCGCTTTTGGCTGGACGCACCCCTGAGCGCCAGCCCCACCCGGACTCCGGTCTCGCGTTCACCTCCAGGTGAGCCCAGCCTTTCCTGGCCCTGTCCTGCCCCCCCACACACACCTCTGGCCCCCCGCTTTTGTCTATGCCATGGCGCTCTTGGGGCAGGAAGATTACTAGGATTTAAGGCAGAGTCTTTGAACTGGGGATTCTTCACTCAGAGAAAAATCCAAAGGCCCTACCAAACTTATATAAATGATTCTCAATTCTAGCTGCCCTTTAAAGTCACCTGGGGGAGCTTGTAAAAACTGCCAGTTTCCTAGGCTCCACCCAGAACCAATTGAAACAGACTCTCTGGGTATTAAATTCATTTTCCTTCTCATTGGCAACCAGTGTTCCCAACGTTTTGCGTCTTTGTTCAGAGTCTATGCATATAAAAGCAAATCAAAGCCAGGTTCTCTCCCTGCATTTACCAGAACCCGTGGGGACACTGCATGTCTGCCTAGTGGAGGCACACTTGGTGCTGATGGCTGCACCACAGCTGTTGAGCCAGGTCTCTCTAGATGGGCATTTCCTTCTGTTTCTTGCTGTCAGTAACAATGCTGCAGTGAATGTATAATTTACACCTGTAGCATGAAATCGTCAGAGTGGGACTGGTGGCTTGGAGGGCATGTCTGTTGTGATTTTGATGGATTTTGCTAAATCTCTTCCACTGGGGCTGTACCAGTTTTCCCACAAACCTGCAGGGTCAGAAAGTGACAAGGGACCTTTAAAATGGTGTTCCCTGCAGGTGCTCTGCAAGGTAAGATCTTAGATACTTCCTCCTTCCTTCCTCCACAGGTCTCAGCAGGGCTGAGGTTGGGCAAACCCTTCCCATGGGCCAGACTATTAATCTCCTATTTCCTAAACCTTTTTAATTATCAGAATCATCTGGGGTGGGGGGAGAGTTGTTGTTGTTATGTGCCACTGAGTCGGACCTGACTCATAGCGACCCCTCCTTGGGTTTCCGAGGCTGTATCACTACGGAAGTAGATTGCCCAACCTTCCTTCTGAGGAGTGGCTGGTGGGTTTGAACCACCAGCCTTCTGGTTAGCAGTCAAGTGCCTTAGGCACTAGGCTACCAGAGCTCCCGGGAGGAGGGGGTGGTTGATGCTTAAAATTCAGATTGCTGGGCCCTGTCACAGACTTGGGAGCACTGCTCTGGTGGCGTGGTGCCTAATGCATTTGACTGCTAACCAGAAGGCTGTCAGCCCCTCGGAGGGAAGGTGGGGCAGTTACTTCCATAGTGATACCACCTCGGAAACTCAAGGAGGGATCTCTATGAGTCAAAATTGGCTCAACGGCAGTGAGTTTGGTTTTTTGGTTTTGGTCCCCGACTTGCCTAATCAGAATGTCCAGGCATTTTTGATAAGCTTTCCAGGTGACTTCTGATTAAGGCCTGAATTGTCCCCACTGATTAACACTATCTCCTTTCATGCTCACAGTCCCTCCTGTTTGGGGTCATTATTCTTATTTAAGGGTCGGGAAGAGGGGCCCAAGGTTTAGCAAGACTGAGTGATCCCAGAGAACGACTCAAGGAGCAGGGCGTGACGTGTCCACCAGCTGTGGGCTACCGGCACTTCACCGGCACTCTGGCCTTTTGCTTTGTTCTAGGAGCTCCTGTCTGCTGGGGTCTTTGGCTTGGCTGCCCTCTGCTGGTTCTAACAGCCAAGCCCCTGTGGTGAGAGATGTGAGCATGTCACCCTTCTAATGCCCCGCACAGTCGGCCAAGGTGCGTCAAGACAGAGTGCTCGTCAGACTGTGGGAGACCCTTGCCTGGAACCAGAACCTCATCTAGGGCAGGAGAATGCCAGGGCCTTGGTATTTAAAAGGCACCCCAAGGATAAAATCGTTATTAAAAATGATCTTGCAAATTCTGAAGCTGGCCTGTCCTTTAAGCAGGAAGCCATTTTTGGCCCCACTGCAGCCTGTTCCGCATCCCTGCTTGGACGCAGAAACTGTGGGGAAGGAAATAGGGTGTCAGTTTTCTGCCAGTAGAGTGAAGACCTAACACACGAGTTACTGGCCCCTTCCAAGAGAGGGAGGTGCAGGAAGAAGGCCGCATTTCGGCCCGGACAAGATCTGGGTCTCACTCCGGCTTGATTTTGCTTCCCTGCAGCTAGCTAGAGGCTGCATTGGCTTTCCTCTTCTTATGTATTTAGCCGAGCTGAAATAAATGAATCCCTCACCAGCAGCCGATATTCCTGCCTGATTGCTGAGACTAATGGATGTTTTGGTGGGCATTGCATTGATGGGAAATTAAAACATTTAGCATGGCTCAGTGTTCAATCCATTTTTAAATACATTTTCCAGATGCATTCCATTTCCTGCAAAGTTATGAGTTAAGCTTTCAAAATGCTTTTTTTCTTTCCTCCTTTTTTTAGGTAGACATGGTTGCTCTTGCTCTGAGCTTTTAAAAAAACAAAACGAAACCCACTGCCATCGAGTTGATTCCAACTCATAGCAACTCCCTTTGGGTTTCCAAGGTGGTAAATCTTTATGGAAGTAGATTGCCCAGTCTTCCTTCTGCCGAGTGGCTGGTGGGTTTGAACACCAACCTTCTGATTAGCGGTCCAATGTCTTAGGCCCTACACCACCAGAGCTCCTTGCTCTGAACTTTGGGGGTTTGAAATAATAAAACACAAGGTGTAAGTCAGTCATCATCCAATATGCCACCATAGAACCAAATAAAATCCACTAGACCCATCTTTTTGGAGTCTAGGGTGAAAGTTACTTCTGGAAATTCCCAGGATGCCTTTAGCCTTAGGCTCAGGAGGTCAGAGTTCAGGAAAGAGGTCAGAGTTCAGGAAAGGGGTCAGTGGTGATGCTCTGCCGCCTCCCAGGTGTCCCATGTTCTCAAAAGCAGCGGGGGCATTCCTCAGGTGGCTCGTCAGATACCCTGGGTACTTCTTTCTGCCACCAGCAAGTCCTGCATTCTCTTCCGAGTCACACACCCACAGCTGATGTCTCATCTGGAGATGAGCAGAAAAGCCTGCTTGAGTTTCCAAAAATGTGTGGTGTTCCCTAAGAGCCGGGCAGATTTTAAGCAGCAGCATCCATCACTGTTGTAGAGACCGGTGTGTTTTTGGGTCTCCCACATGGTTATTACAGAAAATTGAGAGACCCAGTGTGAAGGTGTGGACCTGGAGGTGCCATGCGGGGCCCGACTTGGCTCTTTGTCATCCTGGCGAGGAGATGGCGGCTAGTGTTGCTTCTGGAGCACAGACCGTTTATCTTGTCATAAGTAGCAGCAGCCCCCTGTTGAGCTGGGCAGGGCCAGCTGTGGGTCCCGGATGAGGATGAGCCCACATCAGTGCGGAACGGCTTGCATCTCAAGCAGCATCCTTGCCGCCTGGCACCTTGGGGGCATCCCAGGCAACCAAAGGAAACCGACAGAAACAGCTTGACTTTGGATCAGACTTCAAACTGCCAACTTCAAGTCGTTTTTGCATTTCACCTTCCCTCCTAACAGCGAGCTCTGGTGGCCTAGTGCCTAAGTGCCTGAGGCATTTCGCTGCTGACCAGAAGGCTGGCAGTTCAAACCCACTAGCCACTCCTCAGAAGCAAGGTTGGACAATCTCCTTCCGTACTTTCCACCTCAGAAACCCAAGGAGGGGTCGTTATGAGTTGGATCCGACTCGACAGCAGTGAGTTTGTTTTTTTTTTTTTTTCCCTCTTAATCTCCTGTTTCTGCTGTAATTCCTGGATCATTCTGCCATCTTGGATAATAATAAAGGCTCCTGTTACAGAGAGGCCATCACTGTATCAAGCTCTGCTCTAAGGACTTTAGCTTATCATTAGCTCATGTTTCATCACCAAGACCCTGCCAGTCAGTGTGGCTGCAATGTTCATTTTCCAGATGAGGGTCTAAGTCCAAGATGCTTGTCTACGGCCTCACAGATAGTAAGGGGTTAAGCCTTGGCCCTTATGTTTTGGTGGTGCTATCACTTGCCCTTGGCTACTAAACTAAAGGTTGATGGTTCAAACCTACCCAGTTTTGCCTCGCAAGAAGCATTCTGCCTCCGTAAAGATTGCGGCCCGGAAAACCCTGTGGAGCAGTTCCACTCGGCAATGCGTGGGGTCACCAGGAGTCAGAATCGACTCCACAGCATTGCATTTGGTTTCTGGTTTGTTTTATCTTTACACAATGCTACCTCCTGGATGAATATCCTTTAACTTCGCTAATAAGTGAGATCAGAGAGAGATTCTATAAATCCCTCCTCCTCCTCCTTTGGCGAGAAGCCAGCTTTCCTCACAGCACCTATAATTGGTGTCACCTCAGGCAGAAAGACAAATTGAGCTTATGCCCTGCAGGACCCCCAGGGTCTCAGGCTGAAATGCACAGTCCTTTGCAGGTAGGAAAATAGCAGGTCACCCGGCAGGTGTGGTGCCTGCTCTCCTCTCAAGGTCAGCCCTGCTGCGGGATTCCCAGCCTTCTTCGTCTTTGACCATTTCTCCCAGCTCGATGGGGGGATCAGGGTGCCTTGTACGCAGGTTACTCTATCTGGCCACGGTACTGATTATTAAATATTTTGAATATCTCCCCAGCTTCTAGCCCACTGCAGCCCCTGGCTTCATGGAGGCTGGATGTCTTCCTGCAACTTTAGCCTACCATCCAGTGTTAATTAGAGTTAAGTTTTTCTCTCTAGTCCTGGTACCCAGGGATTCAGCCACAGCTACTGAGGATGGGCTGTACTGCCAAGGAAAGGTTTCTGTGTCTTGGGATATGTGGGTGTGTTTACCTGGCTTTCCTGAAGAAATACTGTCACAGAAGAGAGTTACAAGATGGTTGCTAAACGGGCAAGGAGGCCCCATCTTCCGACCTCCTCTAACCCCACAAGAGGAAGACAGAATCACCATCAGTAACCCAAGGCCTATTCCTGCCAGGCCAGACATGCTGCCTCCCTCCAGCCCTTTCACCAACCGTTCCTCCCAAAGCACCTACCACCTCTCTCCTGGGGTCAATAATTCGCTGCAGTGGCCACACAGAACTCACAGATTACGGGGTTTATTAGGGAAGCACCAGGCTATAATTCAAGTTCAGGAAAAATGCTCAGTCTCTCTCCCAGCCCACTGTCTCTCAGCCAAAAGTCTCTCACAGTTTTTTTTTCCCAGCAGTGCGTGTCCCTTGGTGTCTCTCTCAGCAATGCGTGTCTCTTGCATCTCTTTCCCAGCAGCACGTGTCTCTTTCAGCAGCACGTGTCTCTTTCAGCAGCACATCATCCTCAACCAGCAGTCAGAGAGCCTTCTTCTGCCTCTAGGAGGCCTCCTTTTGAGCCTGGCATAGTGGCCAAACTAACCAATCATAACATTAGAATTCTAAGCACCTGAGAAAGAGCCAACTTCCCAGAACATTACTTTGTGCTGCTCCCAACAGAAATACCCCAGGTAGATGATTTTAACAATCAGGAGCTACTCAGTTTCTCACAGAAAATTCCACCATGGAGTTTATGAAGATTTATGGCTAGAAAAGCCATACCAGGTAATTTACTACACTGCAACGTCGAACAACTTAACATTAACTAGTAGGCATTCTTTGCCCTGAGAAGTTCTTTCCCCACCTTCCCCTCCTGAGGAGCCTTTGGAAACATCTGTATTGCTTCCCTCCAACATATACATGCCAGTTGCTGTTGAATTGGTTTCAACTCATGTGATCCCATTCATTTCAGAGCAGAAATGCACCCTATAGGGTGCTCAATGGCTATGGCAAAGAATTCCAGAACACTTAATTGTGCTCATGAGGAACCCGTACATAGACCAAGAGGCAGTCATTCTAACGGAACAAGGGGCTACTACATGATTTAAAATCAGGAAAGCTGTGCATCAGGGTTGCATCCTTTCACTATACTTATTCAATTTCTATGCTGAGAAAATAATCCAAGAAGCTGGACTATATGAAGAAGAATGCGGCATCAGGATTGGAGGAAGAACCATTAACACTGTAATACGCAGATGACACAACCTTGCTTGCTGAAAGCAAAGGGGACTTGAAGCACTTATTGATGAAGATCAAAGGTTACTGCCTTCAGTATGGATTACACCTTAACGTAAAGAAAACAAAAATGCTCACAACTGGACCAATAAGCAACATCGCAATAAATGGAGAAAAGATTGAAGTTGTCAAGGATTTCATTTTACTTGGATCCACAATCAACACCCATGGAATCAGCAGTCAAGAAATCACATGACACACTGCACTGGGCAAATCTGCAAATGACTTCTTTACAATGTTAAAAAGCAACTTGAGGCCTAAAGTCACTTTGAGGAGTTAAGGTGCAACAGACACAAGCCATAGTATTTTCAGTTGCCTCCTTGGAAGAAGTTCAACCCAAATGCTCCTTAGAAGTGAGGCTGGCGAGACTGTGTCTCAAGGACTTTGCACATGTTATCAGGAGGGACCAGTCTCTGAAGAACAAGATCATGTCAGCAAAGAAGAGGAAGACCCTTAAGATGGGTCAACATAGTGGCTGCACAGTGGACTCAGACATAGCAGTGATTGTGAGGATGGTGCTGGCCTGGGCAGCTTTTGTTCTGTTGTACAAGGGGTCGCTATGAGTGAGACTAACACCAACAGTAAGAATTCTGGGGGGCAGGGGAGGGCCTGTTAGTTCTCTTGTGTCATCTGATGTCTCAGTTTATTCTGCACGGCAACCTTTTCTCATCAACCTGATTTTCTGAATGGCCT